GAACCGGGCCACTTGGAAAAGAGTTAACCAATCAGAACTTTACTTAAGAATAAAGGATAAAGATCTTTTTCTAAAATGAACCAATAACATTGAAGAATACGAACAATAGATCTTAACAAAATTGAAACCCTAACAAAGTGCGAGGCGTTACGAGTCTGTCAGAAAACTTTGCCATTTGTTGATTGGTTGGTTTCGATCTTGAACTTTGTACACTTTTCAACGGTTTCGGTCTCGTTGTCGCAAAATGAGTTTTCAAGTTAAATTTTGAGAGCGACATTTATCATTATGATAAATCAGTACAGTACTAAGTAGATCAATATATGTGCTATACTGACAATAATTAATTAAAATGTTGTGCTTGCACATTGATTGATCTATTTGTAGTAACACCTTTTAAGGTGTTCTTAAATTGAATGTGTTCTTATGTAAATTGTACCTGTTCTTAAAACAACATTTTCAGGCTGATTTTGCAGAAAAAACCTGATATATAAGAACAAAATCAGCCTGAAACCCCAAAACACGTGTTCTTTTATGCGGGTTTTAACTGTACTTCTAATAACCATGGCAATCAACAGAAAAATGAAATCCAGATTGAACTTACCAGTAAATTCATGATAATGATACAGTTAATGATGAGAAATGCCACATACAGTACCCACGTGACGGGCGGCACTTCATGGTCATTATAAACTGTATCGTATTCATATTCTCCTAACATTCCCATTGTTGTCTTGAGCATCGCCCGACTAGGCGTGNCGAGTCTGTCAGAAAACTTTGCCATTTGTTGATTGGTTGGTTTCGATCTTGAACTTTGTACACTTTTCAATGGTTTCGGTCTCGCTGTCGTAAAATGAGTTTTCAAGTTAAATTTTTAGAGCGACATTTATCATTATGATAAATAAGTACAGTACTAAGTAGATCAATATATGTGCTATACAATAATTAATTAAAATGTTGTGCTTGCACATTGATTTCATCTGTTGGTAGTCTATACTGTATTTAAGAACACCTTTTAAGGTGTTTTTAAATTGAATGTGTTCTTATGTATATGGTACCTTTTCCTAAAAGAACATTTTCCGGCTGATTTTGCAGAAAACACTTGATATATTAGAACAAAATCAGCCTGAAACCCCAAAACACGTGTTCTTTTATGCGGGTTTTCACTGTACTTCTAATAACCATGGCAATCAACAGAAAAATGAAATCCAGATTGAACTTACCAGTAAATTCATGATAATGATACAGTTAATGATGAGAAATGCCACATACAGTACCCACGTGACGGGCGGCACTTCATGGTCATTATAAACTGTATCGTATTCAT